CATTAAGGCCATCTGACGGAGACGCTGCCACGCCTCGTTCAACTCCTGTGTTGTCAACAAAAGTTTGATTAGATCAGTATATCACGAATAAATTTTTAAGAATGATAAACACATTATAAAAGTAATATATTATAATTCCAACTGACATCTTTTCTCTTGACGATGGTCTCCCTTTCGGGGTGTCCCTCAAGCACAAGGCGCTCAGCGAGCTGGTTGACCTCGGTGACGCGATACTCTTGCGCGGCCATATCCTTCTGGAACTCGTCGAACTTGCGTTGCAGCACCTCCACGTGTTCCAGGTCAGAGCCGAACTCGTCCGCGCCCACGAATGTCTCCTTCAAATACACACAGATTAATGTAACACCCTCTATAAGGATGAACCTAGTTTAACCACGATTCTTAAATTACCGAATCAAGGTCAATTTATAGCAGTACAAATAGTTCTTCTCCTTTTTATACAGTTTACATTACGCCAACCATTATTTTCGGCTGTAAATTACTTTAATTTCTTTTATTGAGCAATATCTCCAAACCATCTATATTAGACTAATTACAAAAAAATAAGATATAGCAGATTGTATAACACTTGATTTAAATACCTTGTCATGTATCCAGAACATGACCTCATCACAGTGCCTCAGGAACTGGACGAGAACGAGAGCCTGCTGCAGCTTCATGCCCTTCTCTGCGAGCCGGGAGAGCAGCAGCTCCCACAGACGGTGCAGCTCGTCCAACCGCCGGCGGATGGTGTCCGAGGCGAAGTGGTTGGCAGCTATCATCTCACTGCCCGTGTTGTCCAGGACTACAATAGCATTGGAATGCGCTGCCACCTCAGCCTCGAACGCCTGGTGCTTCTGGATCTTGGCCTATAAATTATATAGTATAAATTAAATTTGTTATGTATAGTTTGGCAATAAAAATCTTTAAGTGGACACTGAGGGTGTCGCTTAGTTTACATTTAGTATAAAATATTTATACTAAAAACTGTAAAAAGTTTATCTCCACATCATCATACTACTATTTTGTCTAGAAAGTCCATTGATTTGGCTAACCTACTATGTTGTCACAATATGACCATTGTTCCTCTAAAAACAATAGTTTTTGTTACGTATAGCTTAAAGATACTTGGAATAGTGAATAGTCGTTATTAACGCAAACGACTTTTCGTAAATATTAACAAAACATTTTTTTTTGTTTTTAACTCCACTACAAGTAATTAAGTACATAACATCACAGCTTCAAATCTGATGTTATTTATATCTTATTAAACTAATAGATTGAGATAGATTCCTGAGTTTGTTAGTAATCATTATTTTTTCCTATTCATTAGGCATCAGTCCCACCGAAAATGAACTGATTCATTCATCAAATTAGATAGTCAATTTCATGAATAGAGCTGAGACACAGGATGTGTTTGTTAGTCCTATTTGGCATACACGTCCGTAAGCATTGCGATCGTAACTAACGGGATACGTGCCCTAGTTTTCGCAGTCGCATTGCGGCGTTTCCAATTCTATTGATGAGTTAAAGATAAGATTATGAACTTAAGTGGTATTGTAATGATTCATCACAATATTGAAATGGAAATTATAGTTTTTTTTTTGTTTAATTATCGAGAAATGTAAGACAAAAATTCTTTCATATTTCCGTAAATGACTATACAATTTTTAGCATTGAAGTGTCTGTTAGTAACATAGACGAAGATTTACATATTTGGTGCACTTGATGTTTTAGCGTTATTTATAAAATATAAGTATTACGTAACACAAGAATTACTTGTATTATATTACATTGCAATATACAATTTGTGTTACGAATTCTATTATATAGTACTATAGTAGCTCACAATAGCAGTACGAATGTAAAATGGTAAAACGATGCGAGGTCAATTTAAATATGCTCACATGGTCACAGTACTTTTATTATTTTATATCTTAATCAAGAGGCCGCATATCTAGATGAAGCTGAATCTGTAATATGACTTTATCAATATTAATGAACTTTAAACATTTCTTATTTGATGTTATAGTTCTTTTTCTCCATCAAACTATTGAGAATGTTCAAAACACAGGGTTTGAAATTATAGAAAATAATATTTAAATCGAAAATTACTTACATTAAGAGCAAAGTATTTTTAGAACATAAAACGTGAACCAAATTTTTAAGAGGACATCTTAAGAGGTCTTACCTGCAGGTTGGTGGGATCTTTGTAGCTTTCGTCGCTGGCGGCCTGCAGCTTCTCCTGGATCCAGGACTCGAGCTCGTCAGCGTCGCGCTTGAAGTACTGGAATCGGCGCGAGTCCTCCAGCTTTTCACGCTTGGCGCGTGCCTCCTGCTTGAAGTCTTCATAACGGTTCAGCACCTAACATCACAAAGTAATAGTAAATAATAAATAAAAAAGTATATTTTTCAGGTAATTATTAGTTCAGAACAGGACTTTAGAAAGCCTAGCTCTACCAAGGTTCCCTAAAGACATTTTAGTATTGCTGATGTTAACCTTACTTGTTAATATGTACAGGTGACAAATTAATAAATCTAATTTGGGAATATGTAATTGATCGGAACATTTAATTAATCTGTTTTAACTAACATTTAATAGAAGCAATTAAGTGCATATTAACAACTAATTAAGTAACACAATTTGGTATATTATTCATAGGTTTGTCAACTCCTTAAAATATATAAAAAAAACAAATAAGATTATGCTATAGTCAATATACTTAATAATAAATCAAGTACAACAATGCTAGCCTATGAAAACAGTTACGCCCACTAAATTTTGTTTACGGAAAGTCTGCAAACGGTACTGAAAAAGTCATTTTTGGTATTCACATAATTTTTATGACACCTCTAATGAGATAAATAAAAAAAAATGTTTTAATTACTAGATGTGTGCACTTGACCTTCAACATTTTTAATAACACAAATCTACGGGTGATTAGATAAAAAAACCCCAACCTATGAGATGGATGAGGTAATATTAGCTAACAAAATAAAAGTGATTTAGAACAAAATATTGCTTTCTGATTAATTTGCAGGCAGTGTGCCGTTTTTACTAATATATGAGATATCAAAAGGATGGTTAGCAATTACTACTGTTACGACAAAAATGAAATCAGACATATATGCTTTGCTGGATGGCCTAGCTGGAAGTCAATGGTTTTATTTAAAAAAAAAGAAGCATACCTGTTCACGGCGCTCTTGGATATCCTCAGCTGTTTCGAGGATTTTCACCTCCTTAGGTGGCGGGATCTGCTCCATGATTAAAGCAGCTACAACAATAGAAGATAAAAGTGTATTAAAATAGATATATAAATAAGACAAATGTGAAGGATATAGTAATAGAAGAGCTAAAAAAAAAACAATGTTTAGCAATCATCTAGCAAAGACAACAAAAATCAACCAGCTTGTATGAATTTTCTTAAACTTAATCTTGAAAAAATATTATATTAAGTAAAGAATGCCTCTTATACAATAATTTCAGTAAAGAAAATATTTTACTTTTTCTAAAAGGAATTTGAGCCGCCATGACAGTTAATAACATAAATTAGCAACATGTCAGTAAAGGTCGGGCTCACTGACATCACACCCTGCATTACATCACAAAACCTTGTGAGTCATCATAGGCAGACATTACAGATTTTGATAATGACAATGTTTTGATATGAACAGTAGATTACTGCATAAAATGGAATCTTTGGCAAAGTCAACCATCTTAAGCATTATTTTACTCATGCTTTATTTAAAATATGACAATATTTGGATGAATTAGTGTTATTGTGTAGTTGGAGTATTATAAAGATTTTCATATAATTTGGAGTATTCAGTAGTCATTGATAAATTATCTATTAACATTATAATTAAAATAAAAAAAAAATATCACAAAATAAAAAATTAATTATGTTTACAAAGTAATTGATAGCAGTAGAAATTTAAAACTCATTGTAATCAATACCCAAGTTGATGTAATTAACTACACACAGAGTCAAGAAACCTATCAAGTGTTCTGATATACATTTACAATGTTCAAAATAAAATAACTATTTGAATAAAGAAACTTATCTTCTTATTGGACAGTTTTTTTTAATGTTAATGGCAAATCCTATTGGCATATCTTAATTTATATAATCGCAATGATAATTTTTTCTTAAGAAAGTTTGTAAAAATACCTAATCAATAACTTTGGTGCAGTGCAGTACTCACTATCGGCATTCAGACAGCGTTATCTCGAGACAACATAGAATTATCAATTAAGGATGAAAGTACATGGGCGAGGCAAACGACGTCGATGTTCCAGATTCCACGGCACGCATCGCCGACGCCGCTGGTAACAGCCGGCGTACCTCTACTATACTTACCTTCCATCTATACGTCCTGCTCTCTTATATACAATGACGTAATGCTCCAAAATAAACCAAATAAGGATTATGGGATGGGCTAAAAATAGATTTCTAGATCAATTTAAACTTTTAGAGTCACATCGTCTTAATTTTGACTATGCGTTCACAATTATTTGACATCGAAAATATTTTGAAAGTACAAATTCATTCAACATGAAAATACATGGGTGTGTCAAAGATAAGCGGTTGGTGAATTCGCAAATACTTGGCGAAGAATAATGTTATATTTATAAATAAAAGTCTTACCCGAAGCTTCTTTAGCTAATAATCCAAGACACTACTGATATTTTATCACTTTTAACAAAATTTTATAAAAATTCGTTCGTTCGACAAGCACGTCGCGTCACTCCACTTTCCACAATGTTGCTATTCAAAAATTAAGTTTTCTAGCTATTTATTGATTGACCTATTTTGAATATGAATAATATTAAGTCAAAGAGAAATTATTAATTAGCTATCTAAAATAAAAGAAATACTGTACAAAGATTTGAAAAGTTGTTTTGTTTCCTTGAGATAAAAAATAATAAAATTCCGTCACAAGCCACAAGTGTCATTTTTTTACATCGGCTACACTGGGAAATAGTTGTCAAAATTATTTTATCCAGCGGAGGAGGCTGTCGTGTTTGTTGTATCAATTTGTATGTCAATTATCAATTAACCCTTGTTAATAATGGCCTGTTGATTATTAAAAAGCAGTGGTTGCTGCAGATATTATCGATGTGCAGTGTAGTGTGTGTGTAAATAATGGCTGCTGGCGGCGAGGAGCTGTGGCGCGAGTGCGCGTCCTGGCTGACGAGATGTGGCTTGCTGCGACCGGACCACAAGGCAAATTGGGAGACGAGCACTATACACGATTTGGCTTATACGTTGCGGGACGGTGTTTTACTATGCAATCTATTGAACGTATTGCATCCTGGCTGTATCGATATGAAAGACGTAAACCAAAGACCGCAAATGGCCCAGGTATGCTAGCAGTAACTCGCAATCTGCCTACATAAAAAATTAAAATCAATAAAGTATGCCTTAATGGTTTCTATAGTCGTAGATAAGTTCTTTAAATTATCTATTATTTCTTTAGATATTAAAGACTTTATGCTCTCCAGTTATACTGAAGGTCATACATGGAACACAATCTCATATATTACTACAAAATTAATATAAAAAAAACTGTTATATAACTATGTCCCAGTTGACCAGCATTGTCCATATTTATCACATGGATGTTAATTATATATGCAGTAGTGAGTTCTGTTTGGTCCCATTCATGTTTGTGTAAAGTATTACAATTCAATGAATATATTTCACTGTTATCAATGGCATGAATGAATGAAGGAATGTTACATTTACATATTCATTATATTTATGTTATGTGCATCTGTAGTTTCACAGCAATGATAGCATCTTTCCATCTATTCAGCATTTCCTGATAACTTTTAGATTAATTAATTCCTTTTTATTTATGTTATAATTATGCAAAGTCTAGTATGAATACATACTTCCTATGTCTAGAATTTTCATATCAATTCTAAGGTTAAAATGTCATTAGTTATCTAGAGACAATTTTAAGTTATCTTAATTCTAGGATTTCTTATCTGTAAACATTTTTAATTGGGTCAATTAGTTCAATACCTTATATAGTTGCTAGGAAAACTCTGTCAACAATATGAAAGCATTCTCTAAAAGTTTGCTCAGAACGATGAATGTCAAAATAAAATAACCATCAGGTTCAATATTCTATGAAGATTTTTAAAGAATCAGTACTTAAATCTTATTAGAATTTGATTCAAATTCATCAATAAAACTTTAAACTCAAAAACATTTGTTATTCCTATTTAATTGCTTTTAAACATTAGAAAATTAAATAATATTGCTACAAAAAAAACTAACATCAAAAGCCATTATAAAAAAAACCTGTTGACATGTTGTTTCCTTATCTTATTATTAACTCTTATATTTTTCAAATAATAATTTATTCTAGTGTGGAAAAACCCCTTACTTGCATCAATAATACAAATAATTTTTATTAACTGAGTATTGTTTTACATTTGATCATAACATAAATAAGATTATTATTTAATTGTAGTTATTTAGTTGTAATTGAAAATTAACCTTCAACTTTGCTATAATAATACCTCATGTTATTTTATATTATTAAACATTTATAACATAGAAAAATACTTCTTTACAGTTTCTGTGTATGAGGAACATAAAAGTATTTCTGCGATCATGTCATGAAGTTTTTGAGCTAAGAGAAACAGATCTCTTTGATCCTTCAATGCTCTTTGATCTGTCTAACTTCCATCGAGTGCTGTGCACGCTGGCCAAACTCAGCCAGTGTCCTAAGTCATTGGCTAAAAATGTTAAGTAAGTTCATATTTTACATATTTATGTAGCAATAATTTGAATTTTTATGTTTAAACATACAAAATATAAAACGAATATAAAACTGTTCTAATCTATATGTTCTATAAAATGAAAGCACATTTATTTGCATGCATTAGTGCCAAAAGCAAATTTTATATTTACAGATAATGCACAGAATATGTGCTTTTGTGGAATAGTATAATTTAAAATTACAAAAAATGTATTTATTTGCAGGCCATTCTCAGCTCATCGGACACAATCAGAAGAAGAGATATATAAAGATCTGCAATCAACGTAAGTAATTTTGTATTATAGTTTACATCAGTTGCCACTCAATGATTCTATGTAACACATTATCAAATTATAGTAGCGCGAACATATCCCTCGAAGTAACACAATATGCTGGCAATGAGCCCCAGGAGAGGCCCGCTGAAGTGCCCTGGGTGCAGTTTACAATACCCAGTGCAACCTGTGAAGATAGAGTTGAGGAGATATATGAAGACCTGTGCTATGTCAAGTTCACCTCCGCTATGCCCGAGGTGGCCATTCCATTTTACATTCTTACCATGTTCACACACTAGCGCACGCGCCTTGGATATGTTAATGTTATGCAGCCTTACGTAAGGTTGTGTTCAACATTGATTATTCTATCCGGTGATACTATCATCAATTTGAATATATTTACCGCAAGTTGAATTTATTTGAAAGTTATTTGTTAAATAACAAAATATAGTTTTAAAATATTCACATCTTAATACATTCAGAGCCACCGACTCGTCCTGTGAGTTCAGTTCGAAAGTGCGAGTTTTTATGTGAAAAACTTAGTGGAATCGTCGTTAAACACCTCGGTGTTCCCGCTGCTCGTTTGCCTCTTCTGTTTAAAAAAAAAAAGTGTTAACTTATAAATGTAAAATGTTGTCAAATCTGTAAAATTTTAATTATGAAAATTCTAATCAAAAATCTTGTCTCCTTGACCGTGAAATTTCACTCAAAAAAAAACCTATTTCTTCACGTAGAGTAAAAGACATAACAGTATGATTTTATACGAGTTTTACAGCCGTGGAAACGCTCATTGATAAAACTCGCGTAGGCCGTGGTTGTGCGAATGGTGCGAAGGTCTGCGTGCGCCGGTGTGTGAATTGTAGCAGCTGCTCCATCTCCCAAATTTGTTTACGCCGTTCTGCATGGAATACACACGCTTAAAATAGACGATTGTGTAGAAAAAGCAAACCCAACGCCCCCGTTCTATATATCTCAGTCTTCAATGAATATTGCTTCGTACGCTTTACGTTGTAAATATTTAATTTAGACAAAAACAGAAACGATATGTTCGTTTGAGATATAAATATAATCTTAAATTACTTTCGCTCGCCCGGATTTAGGATGAATGACCGCAGATTGCTTAATTTATAAACGACTCGATAAGCTTAACGTACCATCTCTATATGTAGACATTTTATTTTCTCATGTATTCGATAATAATTTTCTAAGTAGACAAAGTCGCGAAACAAGTTAGTATACATATAAATAATGAATGTAGTGTTTGCGAGTGTGTCACATGCGTGCCGAGTTGCCGGATGTGCGATGTGCGTTCAGTCGACAACGACAGTCGGCTCCCGTATGATAATGATCTAACATTATGAGCGCGCACGTGGCAACGGCTTACTTTCTTTGCCAGTGGCCACTGCCACACTGGCCTCTAGTTATAACATTCTTGTTGCAGCGGAAGCAATACCAACTGCAATCTACTTATACGTTACAGCGAATTCAGCATCAATAACAGCTTTTATTATTGAGGAATTATGGTTGGCTGAATATAAACGAGTTTCAGGAAGAATATGAATCTTCTGTGCTATAGACCTATAGATGTTCCTGCTTTCTACAACAATTTAAAGCAGAGTGCAGCCTCTCCGTCTATCAAAATAGCAGGTCTCTCAAGGGATATTTTGTTGGTCGTGGGCACCTTCGTATTATAAATTATTATAAAAGGTGTTCTTTATTTTTAGATTAGACAATACTTTTACAGAAATTTGTCTATACATTAAACTGTCAGTGTATGTTTCGCCTATGAAAGCAAAATATATTGGTTGTTTACTAAAGAATTCGTCGAGTAAAATGTTTCGTCGGAATTTTTCGTCCATTACGTTTTATTTATAGAAAAACATCGCGATTTGATTAAAGAACTATTAATAAAACCAATTTACTGGAAATCACTTATACCTGTTTTCGTTTTTACATTTTCTTCGAAATACCAAACACGCTTTTAGATTAAGAGTAAAAAAAACAAAGGCATTTCTGTCTCTAATTAGATACCATTTCTTAACAAGTCATATTTTTTCTCATGACACCAATCTTAAATTATATTTTTAATATTAGCATACCAATCTTCGGTTTGAGCAACACATGCTGTCTACCTGTTTTAATCCTGTATGTAATGTAAGAAACTATGCAAACACATAATTAAATAATCAGAAATAAAAACTATTTGCATAATTTTGTCGTCTCTTGTCCAGCCATCAACGTTTATAGAGTGACTTTTGTTTATATTTTTGGTATAACCTTTAAAACAATAATTTACGGTGTTTGTGAAAGCATATATTTGAACAATTTGTCCAATCTCCCTGCGTCTATAAATTGAGAAAATCGAATCGTGTGAGGGCCACGCGCCCCCACCCGCTTCGCTCCGCAGCCGCGCCGCCCCGCCGACGCCCACGTGTTGAGCTGAATTCACTTAAGTGCAATTTTATACCGACTTGCATGGACGCAATGTGATTAAACCACTCGCTCGAATACCTCACCTTTTATGTATTATGTTAAAGATACAGTCTATCAGATATCTGATATACCTTATTCATAAAATAATGTCATTTGTCCCACTAATAACAATACTATTTTCTTCGGCGAATAATAGGAGTAATCAAGGAGTTTAGTGAACAGCCAAGTAGTATTCTGAATCACCTTTATCTGGTGTTAAAGAATGAAAAGTTTTACATATTCATTTCTCTTTTATTATTAGTATTTTATAAGTAAAGTAAACTTAAGTAATTAATTAAATGTAATCGATACTTAATTCATGTCCGATCTAATTTTAATCGGCTTAATGGATTTCTAGTCTCAGAGGAGATATAAAGGCTAGCAGATTAATTAGGATGCTTTATACTACATTGACATTTACGCCTCCGCGTCTGATCCGTCTCGTCGACGTCGCCGTCCGTCGGGGATGAGCTTGGGTGAGTGGTGCGACTGCGAACATTAATGGATTGTTGGAAAATATTAAGGGTTATATTATTATAGACAATTGTAGAGTTATTTTAATAAAAGATCAGTCTATTTTATTATCATATGTATTGTAGTTTCTTTTGTTAAATAATGCGATAAGCAAACAACACTGGAAAAGAACATTTCACTCAATCTTTGTGTCAATTTAGTTTCGTCTTCGGTCAATGAAAAATATATAAATGTAATTTCTTAGTTATTCCTTGATAATTTCTGAGGTAGATCATTTGATAAACATGTGCTTATGTCATTTCGCAATTGGCTTTAGAGAAATATGAGTACACTCGCTGTCCCCCGCGACTTCGTCCACGCGGTATCAAAAAAAGTAAGTAGCCTATGCGTTCTTCTAGACTATGTTTATACGTGTATGCCAAATTTCAGCGAGATCCAAAACATTCGCTTTTATCTTATATATAAAATTCTCGTGTCACAATTTTCGTTTCAATACTCCTCCGAAACGGCTTGACCGATTCTCATGAAATTTTGTGAGCATATTGAGTAGGTCTGAGAATCGGCCAACATCTATTTTTAATCCTGCGAGGACAGAGTCGCAGGCGACAGCTAGTAATAGCATAAGATAGTAATATATATAATTCATATCTGTACATGCACATCATTTATCTATACACGTTAAGCGTACTGGCAATAGATAAAAAACTCCACTTTAAAATAAATTTTACTTGCATTCTTTGTATATTTTACGTACAAATCGAAATGACAATGAGTATATTGTTGATAAGAGCGAGTTTTCTGTACGTTATCACAATTCGAAGTATAACGATAAATTGTCTTAAGTTCTTACATGATAGTATTCCTGGAACGCTAACGGGGTTTTTTTGCAAGGGAATTTAAACCTTGCGGGACGTATTCCATGTATAACGGCGCTGCATAAAATTGTTATGGCTGTGTTTAGAGCTGACAAATCCCTGTTGATGAAGACGAATGAAAGTGGCTTACTACAGCATGGGTTAATTTTATTCGCTTGGTATTATTTATAGTGCGTGCCATGATGTACCTCCTATATGTTAAATTCAGTACTTTGGCTACGAATTGTATATTTTTTATTTACATTATTTTTTTTTGTTTTCTTTTATAACTAAAGGAATGTCAACAACGTTTGTCTTATAGAAAAATCTGAAAAAAAATCTAATAGATAGATTTTTTTTTATTTTTCCATAGATCTAATTAGATGAAACGATGTTGAAATTTCTTCTTTATAGGTATATCGTAGGTTGGGGTCCACAGTATTTTTTGTACCATTATTAAAATGTGTTTTTAGCTGAAGATACAAAGATCTCTATGGTTCTAATTTAAATGAAAGAAACTGGAGCTCGAATACATCGACCTTTGTATTCATTTACTTTGAAAAAATCTTTTGTTGTGTATATTCGCGGTATATAAGCGGTAAGGATTGTTACATCCGATAATATTTTCGTATATGTATTTTTGTAACACTTCTGACGTCAAATTTCAATGTCATACCGAATTCGTTCCGACTAAGTTTGCATGACGAGATAATCGCTCGCATATTTTTATGAACAGCGAAGGTTGCAAATAAGATTATATATCTATAGGTACATATATTAAAACTTGATATTTTATACTAAACAGAGAAAAGTGAAATTTTGTTTTGTATATTTAGTAAAGAAATATGTTTATTTAGAACATGAGAATTACTAAGCCATGTTTTAACAGTGGTAGAGCCCGCTTTAACATCTTCGCACAAATCGGCCTGGCTCGCCCGGTGAAATACCACGACCACACAGAAGACAGGCGTGAAGTGGAAGCAATTCCGCGTTTCGTCTGATGAGTGTGCGTCCCGGAGGCCTAATTTAGTCCTCTTTCCCTTCCCATCCTTTTCTTTATAAGGAAAGGATGGGAAGTGGAAGTGGACTTTCCGGATGAGAGGATGCATGGAAAGGGAAGATGTTTTCTTTCTGTGCAACCTGTCCTCCGTCGATTTAAGGTCGGCAACGCATATGCAATTGCGTATGTCTATGGGCAACGGTCACTTCGCTATTTCAGCGATTTCAGGTGGCCGCTTGCTCGTTTGCCAACTTTTGATATAAAAAAATAATAATAATAATAATTGTAAGTTCTCCGGTGTATTTAATTGTGTTATTTCTGTCGCATACCTGTCTAAATTTGGTCCTAGACATTCGCGGAAGACGCGAATCCCGTTAATACCCTAGTACTTACGCGCCAATTTAGATGCTAGGTATTATGAGTTGCAAACTTTATGTCAGTTCGAAGTTCGCTTCGCATTTCTTCGTAGGTGAGCGCCAGTTAGGCTCACTACGACTGGAATAAAACATCTATAACGGTGCCCCAGCATCGTTTACATTGCGCGGATACCTAAAATTGTATAGTGCGTATTTCTTGCGAAATTGCGAGCCTTCATTAAGTTTGGATGGCATTATACAGTGTTGACACAATTTAGACCATTGAACGGATGTAGTGTTGCCAGTAGGCACGTACTCCGCATGCCCTTCCCCCATGTGCTTGACACGTCCTATCTGCTTTAACGCTCCGTTATCTTTTGCCAATTTTACCAAGGGATTCAAAAGACTAAAGTATCGAAAAATATTTTTTATATCATAAGGTGGCAAGCGAGCAAGCGGCCACCTGAAATCGCTAAAATAGCGAAGTGATCGTTGCCCATAGACATACGCAATTGCATATGCGTTGCCTACCTTTAATCGACTAAATGTTATAAATGAAAATTTTAATGTTAACCAAAAATATTTGTTCCAACACTAATATCGTGATCTAATTACAAAGTGAGACTTTAGCGCAATGAAGAGATTCATACTTCACTAAAAAATAATAATTCTCTAGCGGAAGTATTTGTTAGATAAGTTTTATCTCATTTTTAGTTAAATATATTATCAATTTCGGCATAATGAATTTTGACTATTGCTTTTACGGACCTTAAAATTCAAAAGAATGACTAATTTTAAAAAGTAAAATTATACATTGTACATCCCAAGTGAGAGTACGGGTACATCCGCTGAAGTATCAGAATTCCGTTCGGATGTCCATTGCCCGTCCCTTTGCGCTCGTTGCCTGTCCGTTAAATTCTATAATTTATTTCGAGCGCTTTTCAAATATAGGTCAGTGTACACTTGCCCTAACAATAGTGATATCAATTTTCGCCTTTGCCAAAACGGGCCGTTAAATGAAGGTCGAGCTCCACTAAGGTCATTTTTTATAGCGCAAGTTTATTACTATAAAATTATATGAGATCGTTACCGATGTAACGTTTTACGTTAGTTCTTGGTATTTAATTACTCGTAATGTATTTTATGGTAATGGTGGAGGAATATGGGTATTAGAAAGTATAATAACATTCGAGATTACGATGTTCATAGAGACTGATTTATCATACAAATCTTGTGTGAGCATTTAAATGCCACTATTATGGATGGTTTTTACATAAAATTATTATTCTGTATTCAAAAAATACAAAAGAATATTGCTGCTGCTGCGTAAAAATTGTAAATGGCGCATTAAAGTTATTCCCATGTAAAGCAATCTTAAAAGTAATAATTACTAATATCGGCATTTTAAAATTATTGAGCAATAACATTGACGTGTTTAATTTTCAAATAAGAAAAAAAAACATATTTTTTGCGTACATCTTTTGAGCATGAGAACATTATGGTTGTCCTAATGGTGGTCTGAAGTATCTACAAAAACCAAAAGCCGTGACCTATTTTTATAGCCAAGTTTGGCAATCGTAATTAAAACCTACCTTAGTTTGTTGGTTTTGGCGTTGTTTAATGTGTCGTATACAATGTAATGGGCAGTTAGGACACGAGGTATTAGGGTGGGTGGGCATGTAGTGGAGACTTAGAGCGTATGTGTTTGACGTGTGTGTGTTCGGCGTGCGCAGCGGCGACGCGTGCCCACCGCGCGTGGCCGACGTGAGCGAGTACACGAGCTACTGCGCGCGCATCCGAGACGAGGAGATCTACCGCGACCTGTGCGCGCTCAGGCCGGCGACGACGCACGCGCACGCACCCCACGCGCACGCCGCGCACGCCCACTCGCTGCAGAACAACGCTTTCGCTGTACGCCTGTGTTATTATTGGTTTCTATTTCTCTATTTTATTTATTAAAAGACGTGTGTTGTCTTAATATAAATTTTGAATTTCTAAATATTACATAATTGATTATGTAATTAAGTAGTAATTGTTGTACCAACTTATAAACGTTTAAAGCAAAATAATGTGAATAACAGTTTGTCGTTAATCAAAATATTGGTTACTTTTAATTAATTAGAAGTCTTATAATAAAGACATAGATAATAGAACTTCTGCGACTCCTTTGTTCTTGTATTTGGCAACTTAATTCTATATGACACATTTTAGCTTAGAAACCTTTAGAAACTTATTACAAAACCGCATAATATTCTCAGCGCTTGTTGCATTATAAAAATGTATCCTAAACAAACAATGAGTTACCGCGTGTATATTTCATATGTAATTTAACATTTAAAAATTATTAATATACTAATTTGGAATAAATAATTTAATTGTCTCATTAAAATTTATATACACATGTTATTTTACTAACAATAAATGTTGGCTATAAAAGAAAACAAAATTTCTATTAAGGAAAAATTATAATGTCTTAATTTCTATACCTTCAAAGTACTGAATATGACTTATCAACATAACTCTACATTTTATGTAACTAACATAGACTTAAGTTAAATTATTGTCTCCTCTAACTGGACCAAAGCTACTCACTAATATTTCTAATTTCCCTTTTAATTCAGAGTTACATAAGTTGGCATTAGTTAAATATGGTTTACTTTATTAAGTAGTTAATGCTTTTTTATTTAAGGCAACACATGGCTTTGTTAAGTATGAGTAGTTAGTGATACATGCTATAGTAGTTTTAGTGTTACCAGAAATAATGCGTGGATAATAACAAAAATCAAAACAATTACTGAATCTTGGTGTTTGTCAACATTTATGAAAGGCTAAATTCAATAGTGACGTATTTTGAATGACAAAGAAAAAAGAAAACTCATTGTCGTAGTGAAAAGTAACGTTACGTAAATTCAATTACGTGCGTACAGTTCGCGATATCGAAAGTTAAAAAGAAAATGTTGGCAAATAATGAAAAGTATTCGGCAACGTTTGCGATAAAATATTGAACAACTTTCGGCGGCGGCGGTATGACGAAATGTGGGGGGAAAAGAAATTTCATGACTGAGTTAGGAACCGCAACGCAGCGGCTGACGAGTAAAAGTTCCGCGCGGCATTCCGACCATACAGTGAATTATTCATTCGCTCATTATTTCTGGTATCATTATTTTTTATTTGCCTCGTAGTCTAGATAGTTCGTAGTTACAATGTTTCGTAAAATTACGCTTAGAATGGTTAATTTTTGATTTGAATGTTTCGAATTCAATGCATGCATTACTTTCACTTGTAAAATCAACGAGTATATACCCTTTTGTGTGTTTCAGCTGGCAACATCGTCGCATAGTCTAGAGAAGAGAGATTACGTTATAAGGGAGCTCGTAGACACGGAATGCAATTACGTCGACGTACTGAGCAAAATAATTAAATACTTCCTAAGGCCGTTGACACCCTACCTCAAACCTCAAGACTTGCAAGTTATATTCTTTGGTATAAAGGTGAGAATTTTCTTCAAATAACATATAGTGAAAGGTAATACAACTTACAAGGAAATCGATAAAAGTTGTTAAACAAAAATGAAAGCGGAAAATCTTTTAGCTATAAACCATCTTAAAATACGATAAAGGACCCTCTGCGGTTGTCATTCATTCATGGAACATGTTAGAAGGAATTGTTTTACGTGATCAGGAGCTGCACGAGACGCACTCCGGCTTGCTGCGTCAGCTCCGACTGGCGACGGAGGCGTGCGTGCCGGGCGGGGGAGCGCCGCGGCTCGCCGACGTGTTCTTGGCGTGGCGCGAGCGCCTGCTGCTGTACGGAGACTATTGCTCCAACCTCACGCATGCACAGGACACGCTCAAGACCCTCGAGGCTAGGGACAACACCTTCGCTAAACAACTAGTGGTATAAACTCACTACACTACCACCAACATTGTACGAATAAATAAACACGTAAGCGAGCAAAGATTGTTTTCCAGAAATGTCAGAAGGAGCACAGCGATGGTCGTATACAGCTCCGCGACATACTGTCGGTGCCGATGCAGCGCGTCCTCAAGTACCACCTGCTGCTCGACAAACTGGTGCACGAGACGCAGCCGGTACGATAACCACGTTAAACTATGCCTACACTTCACAATCACAAAATATAACTTTCATTTATATTTCTGTCACAATATTTATTACAGAACCACGAAGATTTTCGTGGGCTGGAGCGCGCGAAAGAGGCGATGGTTGATGTGGCACAGTATATCAACGAGGTGAAGAGGGACAGCGAAGTACTGGCGTTACTTTCCAAAGTACAGGTAGGAAAATGTTCTATAATAAATTTTAGATGGGATTTGCGATTTTGTAAATTTGAATGTGCCGTTATGATACCAGGAGAGTATAATCGACTGGGAGTACGGGGAGCTGGGCGCGACCGGCGCGGGGCTGGCGGCGTACGGCCGGCTGCTGCTCGACGGCGAGCTCAAAGTGAAGGCTCACGAGGACCAGAAACTACGCTCGCGATACGTCTTTGTCTTCGATAAGCTCATGCTGCTATGCAAACCTGTCAAGGTTCGTTGGTTTTAAAAGAAGATATATAATAGAAGATATTTCAGTGTTGGTAAACTTACTAATGTATAATGTTTGTGTGTAGGACAATCAGTACTCGTACCGCATCGGGGTGCGGCTGGCGGAGTATCGCGTGGAGGAGGCGAACGCGCGTCGCACGCTGCGCGGCGAGTCGCGGTGGGCGGCGCACTTCTACCTCGTGCGCCGCAACAAGCGCGCCACATTCACGTTGTACGCGCGCACTGAAGACTGCCGCCGCAAGTGGATCAAGGCTATTAGAGATGCCATGTAAGTGGCTAAATCCATTGAGTCATTTCGCACGACACGCTGTGATGAAATTGCAATGAAACAGCATCTCTAACTAAAGTGCTGGTTGTACTTTATTCCCATAGAAATAACAGTTATAACGGTTCGCAGCTAACTTCAAGCCGCCATAAAATTTGAATACAAGGAATTTAATTAGTAGGTACTATATTTTGCGTGTCGTTTATAGAGACAATCTGGAACCTTCCGGATGCCGCAGTACCAACCACAAGTTCGTGCTGCATACGTTCGACAAGCCCGCCACCTGTCATCACTGCTCCAAGTTTCTCAAGGGCAGAATATTTCAGGTTAGTAATATGGTACACCACACCTTCGTAATATTGTATTAACAAACATGTATCACAAATGTCACGTTATATTCATACAGGGGTATCTGTGCTCGGTGTGCAATGCGTGTGCGCACAAGGACTGCATCGCGCTATCAGGTCGGTGCGGAGGAGGACTGGCGCCCGCACCACCACTGCCGCCGCACTCACACCAGCCTGACCAGGCGCTGCATTACTACATGTGGTCAGTACACAATACAAACATGCAACACACCATCACAAGTATTTTTCTCATACTGCTTAAACTACAATAAAATAATTTCTAGAGATATTGATTTCAAAATGGAAAATCCAACTCGAAGGACCATAAAAATATTATATTTTTGTAAAAAATTAGTTGTATAGGTTAACATATTTTAGGTATGTGGGAGAGATGGGCCGCGAGACGGCGACAGCTCGCCTGGAGCGACGCGTGGACGGCACGTTCTTGCTGCGCGTGCGGCCGCGCGCCGCGCTGCACTCCCCCACAGACACGCACTACGCCCTCTCCTTAAAGTAACTACATTATTTCCCTTGTCGTTGTACATGTTCACATTTTTAATATGCTATTTCTTTTCTTATTTTGTTACGATGTTTGACCATATTAAATGTTTGTGTTTATAATTTTACTTTTTCCTTTCTTAGGCTATAATTAAAGCTTGTTGTCTATTGCCTCAGAACGGACAACACGGTGAAGCACATGCGCGTGTGCCGCAAGCCCATAGACCAGGTGCCGCACTACTACCTCTCGGAGTCTCGCTTCTTCCGCAGCGTCGTCGAGCTCGTCTCGTACTACGAGCTCACCAGCCTCGCTGAGAACTTTGTCGGGTGAGTACTCGCTAGTATAGTACTGGTGACTTTAACCTAAATAATATGGGAATTTATAAACATTTACGTTTGTAACAAATTACGTTTCATTCCGACGACATAAAACAAAGAAGTTTTAAATTTGATATAATTTTAGATTAAACTCGAATCTGCGCTGGCCGTTCCGTCGCGTGGTGGCTACGGTGATCCATGACTTCCGGCCGCTGGAGTCGTCGCAGCTCGCCCTTCGCCCCGGCGCCAAGCTGCTCGTGCTCAGCAAGGAGGGCGACAGCCGCGGCTGGTGGAAGGGCAGGACTCTGGACAAGGTTACCTCTCCAACTTATATAATATCACATCTAATCAAGAAAATTAACAATAGGCGTTTATTAGGCAAAAGCAGGCTTGTCTTAATTCAACAATTCATAAACATGTTTACAGGATGACAACCGATCGGGATACTTCCCGAAGGAATGCGTGCGAGAGGAGCCGGAATGTATAGGCGCGCTGGACTGATGCCAGCTCTGCCTCGCCGAGCGCGAGCTGCACTTCGTCCCACCTCCAACTGACGGCGACCTCGTCTAGGCGCCGCCCACAGACGCGCCTACAACGCGCGCCTACATCACGCCCACATACGGTGGTTAGAATCGAGGTTACAATTGCACACAAACCGTGTTACATTTGGTTTTGTGACGGCGGTTATTCTGCTATGAGAAGATACTTCAATACTAGCAGTTTTATATGTGAAAAAGACTATATTGGAATTGGCTGAGTAGACTCATGCACTTGGTTATTCTTCAATGTAAAAGAGTAAGTGTTATTTGATGTTACCCCTTACCTATATAATAATTCTCTTTATCAAGTAGTGTGTCGATGGAATTGGACATTTCGATGAAATCGGTTATTTCAAAACCAGAGACAAAATATATTTGTCAAAGTCTATTCTAGAATATATTTAATCTATGACAAAAAGAAATTGCTCTCACTACGTCTTACTACGTAAAACTCATATCTGTTTCGAATATTTTAAGATGAATTCGCAAATTGACAAGCGAACTTTAGTCATACAAGATTATATGAATGTTGATGTTTTAGAAACGGAGTAGATATAGTAAGTTATTTTTATTACATTGACTTAATAGGCTGCTATTTTAATGCATGCAGATGTTGCGTATGTTCACTATTGTGAATTTAAAGTTGTAAAAAACATCCTGTGTTATATGAAGACACAAATTAAATCTCAATCTATTTATTAGTTTGTAGGACATATGTTTTTATTTTAACGTATAAATATATCTATACTGTAATTGTTAAATAGAAATGCAATATGAACGCAGAAATGAAATAAAACGATACTATACGTAAAATTGGTAAAAAATAAATTAATGGCTGACGTTGTACATATAGAACAAGAATTATCAAAAGAACCAATCGGAAATATGAATTAAAATAACTCATTTTAATTTGACGTAACAATGTTTTATGTCAGAACTTTTTTTTACCAAAATACAATTGGCTCTATGTGTTAAAACTTTTGCTCTCTTCTCTTCTAAATAAAAAAAAAATAATAGCACTATGGATATATTCAATGGTGCGTAAAATGCTTTAAATTTAGTATAGAGTAGTATATTTTGAAAATGCAGTTCTATTTTGACTAAATAACACTTAACTATGACATTTTAATTAAAATAAGGTTGTTTTTTTTTTATAACATCATATTAAAATATTTACCTATCATTAGCAAATGAAATGTTGTGAAAAATATGTAAATACATGAAATACCACCGTATAATTTAAGTCAAATATAAAAGATATGATGTACTATCAAAATATTCCATTGTTTCAATGTATTGCTGATACAAAGTGTTGTCAGCTTAAAATATTTCCTATTTAACAAGAAAATATTAACGGTTTCCTTTTAACAGAATATGCCAAGTTGTTTAGCGGAATTTTAGATTTGTTGTTGGCAACACTGTTGATAACCTTTAGACATTAATTTTAAAAATTTCGAGGTTATTTGTAACTGTCACTAAATAACTAAACTTCATAATCATATCACAATATTACTGCTGTCATAATTTACATCAATAAGTTTGTTATTAATAATACTGGCATGTAGTACGTTTTATCAATTTTATTTAATTTGCAACCATAGTGAGAATTAAGTGCCAAACTCAACGATATGTCGTTACTATTTTGCTGAATTGATTATAATGAAGTTCCGAAGACGTGCAATAAATAATGTTCCTCGCTTTTTCGATTACAATTTATAAAAACGGACAGTTCAAAAACGTAGTTTACATAAAGCATTATGCTATTTAAAAAATCCGAATTATAGACAATCTTGGTAATGCATTGTGCTTTAACCTAATTATTGACTGTCTTAAAAGTTAAACATATTACAGCTGTTATTGAATTGTTTAATTATTTGTGACTTCTGTTTACACCACAATCGATGCATTCCAACGAGTATTATATAGCCCATTTTTAGATAAATGCATTTGTTGCAAATTTATGAAATCTTTGCTAGTTGTTTAATATGTGTGAATTGTTAAGGACGCTTCAAATGTACAATAAATATTTACTTTCCATATAAATGCTAATAGAATATTTAGAATCTTTGCTTGTTTAGAGTGAGCGAGAAGGAAGCATACAAGAGGACAAGAGGTGTGACAGAGAAATATACCTCCCACCTTTTTTATGCTATTTCAGATAAGTAAATGTATGCTGAGCATTATAACAGCATTTTAATCTTTCTATTTCATTGATAAATGTATTGCTTTTAAATATTTATTAGGAAAATAGACAAAGGGTATTTATATGGACTCGGGAATTACAAAAACAATGACAGATATCCTTCCAGATAGATAAAATATATTGAAAGAATATTTTCTATATGTCAAACTTTAGATTTAGAATTTTACATATTTTGGGAAGTGGCTGTAAGAATGACCATTAACATTTGCGAAAAAATTTGAATGCTAGATTGCCATAGAGTCAATAGTAGTTTGTGTTTTTTTTTAAACGCAACGTTCTAGTCTCAGTCTTCAATGAAATGGTATTATTCTACAGCCACTTCCCACACGACATAATAAATTGTAAATAGATATAACAATTAAAATTTTATGTATTAAAAAAAATATTTAAATGCTTCAATGTAATTAAAATTAATTAGTAGTGAATTTAAAAAATATAATAAATGGTTAAACGCTGCTTTATGTCGAGTTGTGAGGACGAGTTTCCGATATAAAAATATTTCGTGTAATATATGGAAGATGAAATTGTATTTTGCCGATGGTGGTTTCGGGCGCTGACCTTTATCTCGTTAGATATCCACTGGACAGGTCACTGCTCGGAAATGACAGCTTTTGCTTCTTTCCGACATAAAGCGTTTCATAGTTCGAGTATCCAATCAGGATACCGTCACCGCAATAATGGCGAAAATGAAATAGGCACAAAATACAATGGCTTGTAGCATGTCCAGTGGAATTTCAAGGTCAGTGGTTTCGAACGTTGTTACTATGTGGATAGAAATGGTACAGGTACGAAGTCATATAAAAAATATGATTGTTGCAACGTAAAGATATATATTTTTTCTATTCAGTTGGAAAGAGGACCGTTCTTTGGGATAAAAACTCGTATGGTGTTAAAATCAAAATTTTATTTAGAACGATAAATAAATGAGCTTTGTAGTTAAATTGTAAATTAAATATTTATTTTTACATTAAAACATTGTGTAAAAAGTAAAATATAAATAATTTTCGAAAAAGGTTTCAATAGACTACTGTTTTGGATTTTTTTTTTTGCATTATATAGACAAAACGCAATTATTATGTAATATGTTTTGCAATCTGTAATAGATTTTTTTTACAGAATGGCCTAAAGTTTTAAAATAACACGCACAGATTTTGTGATTTTTTTTGTGTATGTTTTTAAATATTATTGGCATAAAAACGTAAAGTTGCGCTATTGTTCTAAAAAATAGGTTTGTGTTCATTTGTTTGAGCGGAAGAAGCGGTCGAAAGGGTGATGATAATGTGTAAATGTATTTTTATATTATTTATGTATTATGTTTGTAAATATAATAAAAAGAAAAAAAGCAGCATATCTCATTGTTCTCTAGTTGGATAGGACGACTCCAAAATAAATACACGGTTGGAGAAATCAAACTTTGTTTTATTTTATAACCAAATAACAATTAACAGAATATGATGATATATAGTCACAATTACGTATATTTATTACGTATACAAAAATATTATTGTAAAAAAAAAATCTTATACCAAAAATAAATAAAGGCATTTGGAATATGCATGCACATTTTGGATTTAAATATTAATATGTTATCATTATTCTTAATTTGTTCTCTTTTTGATTTAAAATAAATTTTTGATAATTACTTTTTAAATACTGCAAAATTATTGTTAATTACAAATTATCTTTTTAAATACTAATTGGCAAAATTAAGTATATGGCCTTGCGTAAAATACCTAAATCTTTTTCCAATAGAGGTTTATATCGTAATAATTAAGAGTAATTAATACGTCATAATGTATTTTAAGAAGAAACGCTGCATTAAATAACAATTACTTCATGTATTTCTTCATTACAATAAATATATTTATTATGCCATAGATATAAACACATCTAGATGGGAGCACTACATACAAATACGCTCAAAAGCGAAATTCGTTTTCGAAATCTATTTGCTGCATAAATAAACGTGGCCTAAATATACATACAACTATCATTTATATATTTGTTAAAATACAACAATAAAAAAACTTAACACTTAACATTTACTTTAGATTAGGCGTGCTGCTGCCAAGATATGTCTGCAGGTCAGTGACAGTGGATTTGATCAATTTTGCTGGTATGGTGGGTCTGTTCAGTCTCTTGTACGCGGCGAAGCGATGGCAGCCGCCAAAACTATAGTAGTAGTTACCACCTTCTGTGCCCTTGATCCATAATACATCTATTGGAGGTACTTTACCATCCTCTTCTTCTTTCTAGAAGTTAATTTTAATTTTATTGATATTCGCTTCCATCCTAATTAACATCAGAATGTAAGCGAAAATTTTCATCACAAATATTTAGTATGTACAAAAATTCAAACGTTCAATCGACCTACAATTGACATTGCCTAAAGTTAATATTATTACAAAGTCAATTTACGTAAGCAATACACAAAAATACTGTGTGGAATCGCTTTACCTGAATGCTAATAAGCTAAAATAATATTATGAAGTGATTTTCTATTTAGCCAACTTTTGATGCGTATAAAATCAAAATAAAACATTGGAAATTATACAAAATAAGTTTTGAAACATATCTAGTGTTAGGATATCATTGTGTGGTTTGACCTTGCAACACTTCTTTATGGTCTGCGATTTTATGTCCAGGGATCAACTGTATCAGGAAAACGAACAGATTCTAATCAATCGAAGTAAAGTGATTTTCAATATAATATTTCTCAATAGATAATGTTACAAACAGCGACACGATTAGATGTTGTGCAGCTGCTGCCGGATCGAATACATTACTTTGTGAACAAGGAAAGTCTAATCTAAAAAATCGTGGGGACCCCGTTTCTACAGCATATTGGAAATCAATAAGTATTGTATAAAAAATTATAATTATAAAAATAACAAGTCGTGTTCAACGATAGAATAAAAAAATCTCTAATTAACTCTACATAAAACCGACTAACACATTTGCTTCTATAAAAAAAATGCTTACTTGTATAGTTTCCATCAGTGACTGTACTTTTTTTTCATCTAGTTCCGGAATGAAAGGCCTTGTGATTACGGAAATTGGCACATCGTGAACTTCCTCTATGTATGCACTATGTATGCTGGTCATTCTTGCTGCAATACAAGGCACTTGTTAAGAATTTAATTTTAAAGTAATTTTTAAATTATACTCAATGACATGCGTTTTATTTACAGTTGTATTATTTTAAAGAAGTATTACAAAAGTATTGTTTTTAATTTAAACCTTTACAAGGGTAACCAAAGCGGATAAAATCGTTCTAATTTTTTTTTTAAATTACGGTTTTCATTATGACCAACACTCATATCACATAATCTGTGGTCCTATTCCACAAAAATTGATCTTTTGTTATGGTAATTCCACAAAAAAATTATTAAAGTCGAGCTTAGTAGGACTACATCAAAATGTTTTCCTTATTATTTATATCATGTTTCGTCATCTACTTTATTGGTTATGTATTACAATTGATATGGTAGATTGTCTACTTACAATTTTGTGTACTTGGCACGATTTTAGTTAAAGCATTAATAGATCTTAACATTACAAGTAAAGAATATAAAAAAATAATACAATGAAAAGAAAAATACCGCTCTGATCTGATGTCAACACGAAACTGACTCGACAACGACAAACGAGTCATTTTCATTGAATGCCTGTCGTGAAGTTGCTTACTCACAGAGTTGAAGGTCAAGACAACGCTGATAAACATATATACAAACAAAATAGTTTTTATTAAGTTATTGTTTTTATCCAAAAGGAGTGCAATTATTAGAAGGGATCGATAACATTTGGTTAAACTCTCTGGATAACAATAATTACTACGTAAGATTGCCACCTGTGCGTTTGTCCCGAATTCTCGGGCTACGGGTTTGTCTTCGGGTTAGTGTCTAAAAAGGCACTGGATGTTTTTTTTGTCGTCCGCTAAGGATCAAAGGCGGACATTTATAAGGGAGTCAAAGGTTGACAAGAGGTCACTGTTCGTGCTTCTAAACGTGGTAGAGGACTCAGGCAGTTTAAAAAGTCTCGGTCCTTTTCTCATATTTTTAAGTCACGAAACAATATGATAAATAGGGAATTTTGTCAAAAACAAAAACATTTTGTTATCGATGTGACTTGTTTTGCATGTATTATCATAATCACAATCGCTATCAATGGATAATAAATGAACATATCACGTAATCGAATTCCAAATATATTTTTGAGCTATTGTTACTCAAAAATGTAATATTATGGCACCGCTAGTGGTAAATCTATCTAATAATTAGCGATAACAGAAATTTAAAGACTTTATCTATTTTATTGAATTAAATACAATAAAATTTTTGTCCAAATACACTTTTATACACCAACTTGAAATAGAAAGGAATAATTAGGTGCAGTATGTTAGTTTTTTTAGCACTTTAGCATGTTATCATCAGAATCTGTAAGTGGTTAAACTGTTTATCCTAATCTCAGCTAAATTAGGAAGATAAAGCTTAAAAATGTGAAAATTATTATGAAGGTGTACTGGATGGATTAGCAATTTTAATGAGCGTGATAAACATTCCATTCTGATAGAATGAAAAATTTTCTGACGATGTTCAAAGGTTTTAAAAATAAAACAAAATAGTTAACTACACAAAAATGTATTTAAGTCAATCTGATGGTCGCAATAACAATGAAGTCGTCGTATACATGTTGCGCACACCGCCGCATGCGCGTGCGCAGCTCCACACCGCCCCCAGCGCCCGCGCCGTACAACTTATAAGTACACACTGGCGCAATATTTTTGTATAGTCGACATGGCGGCGGTGCACTCTCTGCAATCGGTAGCAATTTTATTTAAATTTTTATTTAAAAGTTTTCAAATTTCATCGTATACTGTTTCAGATATCTTGATTTTAGAACACATCAACTTAATTCTATATAATATAATATTTTTTTCTCGTAATCAAACTATTCACTAAGTGTTATTCGTATTTCATTTGCATTTCGTATTACATTATTCGTATATTCAATAAGAACGATGATAAAATAATAACTTATTTACTAAATACATGAAAATATAATATATAGTAGAAGCCACTAAGGTAGTACCTCATAAAAATATAACATTTAGTTGTGACGCTAACAACGTTACACACGTGCGCGTCAGTTCGCTGCGAACGAAAAGTGGTTAGTAAAAGTAAAAGATTGATAAAAAATAGCTATTGTTAATAGGACACCATGATTAAGACGAAAATACTTCGTGTGCGTAAACACAACCGTTTCTAATAAAATATTAAATTGCACACAAAACGACCCTCTCCCCGTCTCAGCCACTACATCACAACGTTCCAACACTTTACAGTAATTTTAAACAATTTCTTACATTTTTTTATTTGTAAAACTCAAAATATAAGACATTTAACTAAACAATTACAAAAGTATATAAAAATTGTGTTTGTAAAAATTAACAATATTTAAAAATTATATTGTTCACATAACACAAGTTTTCACATTTCATATGCAAAAGTTAAAGACTTGATAAATATTCAGACCAAAGAAATTGTTTAAAACATATGTAAAATGGTTTACATATATACTTTAGTCATTCGAGGATCAAACAGCTGCAATCACAAAAAGACAGGACACAACTTCACTTAAAGTTAATTCTCTACTAAAATATGCTTACATCTATCGTATATTTATATCCACCGTCGTATAGTAAAGGTTAGTGAACGTAGAAACAAGAGATCCCGCCATTGACGTAATACTGTCAAATCCAGCGAAGCATAACATTTTTAATAAATCACTGATCTGTTCAGAAATAATACTTTAAACTGCGTATACATTGAAGATATATTAAATAATACTATATATTCATTCTATAACTTTGTAAAAATGAAGAAATCACTTCGAAAAGAAGTCTTTCAAGATCAATTTGTTTAGAATCATTTTAAAACAGCCTTTAAGGTTAGTTATAGTAAAATAAAGTTACATAATATAAAAACAATACTGTGTGCACCAGTCAAATAGAATACAGGGCAAATTTAAGTTCCGTCCAAAAATATTAGAGCTAAAATGTTTCGTAAAGTTCATAGTATACATAATGTCCTAACCGCTAAGGCTCACTAGATATAAGTAAGTTACGTAGTAAATGGCAATTCTGTGGAAGCTGCACGATTACATTCGCACTCTCGGGCCCTGCAACAAAAACATTTTATAAAACTACCAATTCTAATAAAAATGTAAATTTACATCTAATCTCATAAATGCGAATAAGTTCGAATGAATGGATGTTTGAAGGTATCTCCAGAACGGTTGCATGAATCTTGCTGATATTTGGCATACATGTAGATCTGTTGTAAGAACGCATAGGCAACAAGTTCATTTTTTTTAATTTAGCGCGGACGGAGTCGAGTGCGACAGCTAGTACAAAATAAATATAAATAACCTTTAATAGAGCTCAAGTAGAGTTAAGGCGAGAGATCCTGGTGCATGGGGTCGTATCCCATGGCGGGGTCGTAGCCGGGCTGCGGCGCGTCGTAGCCGGGCGCGGGCAGCGAGTAGCCCATGCTGTCCTGTGTGGGCGCCGGAGACATCATGGGCGTGGCCGTGCCTGACGCCGCCCCCATCGAGTACGGTGACGCCCCCGCTGCTGCAGACAATAACGACCTCATCAATCTTATTATATTTAGGTTTGCCTCGTTAACGAAGGCCTGCACATCATATTTTATCTTCTACGAGGAGTTTTTATGGGGACTAGACGGGAATATAAGCATATTAGATTAAAATAATGTATTCTCTTTCGCTTGCTAAGGTTAAATAAAATTTAAATAATTAGATGGCTGCCCTGGGTGCCAATACTATTATATACCATATTTACAGTATACATATTTATGATTTTAAAATATATATTTTATAACTTTAATGTATAATAAAATCTATTTTGCATTATACAATGTCTATTTTTTTGTTTATGATTGGGGGTGTAGATGTGATAGAGATATCAATAAGGACGTAAATAATGATAGTTTACTGTAATACGAGGTGGGTCGGGCCGGAGGGGAGCTAGCATCGCGCCTGCACGCGCCAATCCAAGGCAGGTCTGTGTGCGGAAACCATAGTGTACAGCGCGTCATGTCATCTATGCTATACAGCTATTGACTATAATATGTCAAACATGACGCGAATAAAAAAAATTCTAGTTGGGGGAGAAATTTCGATACATTTTTAACATTATAATATTTAAATACCCGCGATAAAGTTATTGTTTGAGTATAAATTATTTATGAAAACAGTATTTACCCGCTGCTTTCTTAGCCGCGTACAGATTCGCCTCCTCCTGAGCCTTGCCGATGTTCTTCTTGTAGCGAATGCGCTTGTTGCCGAACCAATTGGACACCTGGGTACAATATAACTTTTAAATATGCAATCTTAAACAACCCAATCCACCAAAGGTTCGCGGAGACTTATTATCGGAGTACAAAACCCACTTTGGGTGAATAATAACCTGTGAGACAGTGATGCCACACTTGCGGGCCAATTCCTCTTTCGCCTCTTCACTGGGGTACGGGTTTGAGAGATGAGAGTAGAAATATTCATTGAGGATCTCAGAGGCCTGCTTGCTGAAGTTGCGTCGCTTGCGACGGGCGTCTAGGAATCTGGAGACGGATTATTTTGTAAATATTGAGATGATTAATTTATGATCTAAGAAATAATGCTAGGAACTATCAAGGAAGCATAATTTTTTTTTAATATTTGATTTGGAAATTTTTTGTGTTGTTTAAGATTGTTTAGTAGCAAACTTTGTTTAATGTGAATTAATAGTGAATATGACCAAGCGGTGCATTTCATAGTATCTACTAATGAAAAATGATTTTGATATAATTTTACACATACAATATTGCATTTAATTTTGCACTTACCGCGATCTCAGTATCATGACGGCCTCACAAGTGGACTGCTTCAGCTGCATCTGGATAGAGCTGAACTTCTTGTGAATTATTTGAACCATTCGTTCAATTTCCTGTACGAAAATAAAGAAAATTGAAAAACAAATAAGCTGTTTCATTTTATTCCCTTCCTTTTCTAATATAACCTTCTCTTTCTTATATAAAAATCTCTTAAACATATGAGTATGAGAGAGAATACAGCGATGTGTAAATAACTTCCGCTATGGAGGAGAATCCCACATAACTAACGCGTCCCCCACGGGGCGCGGAGTATGCATAAAGCATTGCCCTCTGAAAAAAAAAGGACATAGGACACAGAAATTTTACACATACCTTGGGTGTAATTGGCCTGGTGCGGCTCTGCTCGCGCAGTAGATTCATGACGTGTGTGGTGAACTCGTTGCAGGCGTTCTCGTACTTGTCTAGCTCCTGGTGGTATATCTGGCGGATCTGGGCGAGCTTCGCGCGATAGTCCGAGTGCTCGATCGCGTTATCTGCTTGAGCCACAGTGCCTTAAGTTGCAGCAAATGGGAGGACAGAAAGAGTTACATGCAACCTCCATCCCAGTATATGTTAGTTAGCCACTTGCAAGGACTACTACATATTAAACAAGTCAATATTAATTTTACTATTTCCCAACCATTTTTTCAGCATTGTGCTAATCATGGTAAAGTTAATTTAATACATTTTTTGATGTAAAAATATTTAAATAGAAATTATCATAGGATAAAAGTTATTTGTTTTACTAAGAAAAATAAGTATTAAGACTCATAATACTCAAATAAACAGTGTTGTACACAGCCTATATTTGCAAAAAATAATTTGTAAACTTTGCATTTTTATTATAAAACAAATAACATATTGCAAATGGCTATCATATTAAACCAGTTTAAATTATTATATACAATTAATCACTATTCAATTAACTATCTTGTGTCAAAGAAAATCACTACAAATTTTTTAACTTAATCATGCCAATTTAATCAACCATGCCCAAAAAGGTGCAAGTAGAAATAGAATATGCCAACATTAAGCACCAAATGAAAAATATATAGTGTACTTATTATAAAATAATAACATAGTCTTATGAAAAAAATCAGTAACCATTATCATTTTAAAATGCCCATAAGCTATATCAATGATTTACCACATAGGAATAATGCTAAAATCACTCATTTCTCATTTATTTATCTGATTTACTATATTTTTTTAAATGTAACAATAATGACCTTTGGATAAACAATAGCATGCACCTAATCCAACACCAACTATTAATAAGTTAATTAGGACAGTGTTTACCCCACTCGCCAGCGGCGGCCGACGCAGAGGCTGCAGCACCCGCACCTCCACCCTTCTCAGGCCCCGCAACACCCTCTGCTATCAGCATGTTGTCCAGCCGCATCAGCTGCGGGTCCGGAGGCTCCTCCTCTTGAGTATTACGAAGTGACAGCACTGCACATAAATTATGTACTAAGTTACTGATTTAAATAAAAATGAACAAAAAATACTTAATATGTTAAATGTTTTCTTTTTTTTTGTTAAATTAAACTCAATACACAAATAATGCTTACCCGTTTTCTCCTTAATTTCACATAGCACAGAAAACAAGGCAGGTTTCATTCTATGACAATTTAGTGTGTGCTTCCTTGCTTGGGCTTCGTCAAGGCTCTGGTCGGTAATATTCATGATCTGTTGTAGAATTTCTCCTATGTCCTGTTTACGAGCCTCACCCTCTCCCGCCGTAGGGGCACCTTCCCCAGACAGGCCGTAGCCCTGCGGTCCCATCAGCCCGCCGCTATGCGCCATCATCCTGTTTGGATCGTCCATTTCTCCTTGCTCAGTTCATAAATATAACTAAACTTACACTAAATACGTATACTGTTTTGTACGTAGTTTAAAAGGCTAGTTTGAAATAATTTATAAAACTAGAACAAATAAATTTTTGCTATACGAAAACTACAGCTCGTTCCTATTCTTTAAGAAGCTATAAAATGGCCGCCTTCTTTGTGCTGTCAAAAATGAGATATTTGAAAAAGAAAACAAATAATTAAACTATCCCCATCACGCTTTATCTTATGATAATTGTATGCATTGATTTAATGTCCGAAAGAGATAGAGCTAGTTCATATATTGCCAGTGTTATGTTACATTTAAGAGCTAAAAAGCTATTAAAACATTATAAAAATATTTATTTTTAATACAACAACCGTTTATTAAAAATACTTGTTTCGTTTAATTCAAGATTATATTAAATTAGGTACAGTGCGAAGTTTGTTATTTATTTCTTATCGTATAATGGCATTTCCAAGATCAGCCACGTATAAGTCACTGTGACATTTGTCACTTAGAAACTTCATCACCGAACACCGAACACGCGATTGCTTTGTCACCGGTTTAACTCCATATGTGATCAATAAATACATCGTTTCTCACGTAATAAATGAGAAACGTTATATCATTCGTCTATAAATGTAGTGTATTTAGTAAGCGCATACCATCTGTTCAAGTTCATTGCAAGTTATTTTCTAGCGAGTGGGGCAGCAATAAACTTCACCGAAAAATAAAAATTCCTAATCCTTTACGAGAAAGAATTATGGCTGATCCAAAAATCGAAGAAATTTTAGCTCCCCTGAGAGCTAGCGTCAAAAGTCAAGGCGATCTTGTTAGAAAATTAAAGGAAGAGAAAGCACCAGAACTAGATATCAAAAAAGCTGTTGCTGAATTGAAGGCTCGTAAGAAAATACTAGAAGACAAAGAACTAAGCCTTGCGCCTAGCGATGAAATATTTGATCGAGCAAAAATGGAAGATCTTATCAAAAGAAGATTCTTTTATGATCAGTCTTTCGCAATTTATGGTGGTATTACTGGCCAATTTGACTTTGGCCCAATGGGATGTGCTCTGAAAAGTAACATGATTCAACTGTGGAGAAAGTATTTTATCCTTCAAGAGAATATGCTGGAAGTTGACTGTTCTATTCTAACCCCAGAACCTGTTTTGAAAGCTTCTGGTCATGTAGAAAGATTTGCTGATCTTATGACTAAAGATGTGAAGTCAGGTGAATGCTTCCGCTTAGACCATCTAATTAAGGCTCATCTAGAAAAAATCAAAAGTGAGAAGAATACAAAAGCTGAACTCAAATCTGAAATAGAAGACATCTTAGTGAAGCTCGATGGAATGAATGCAGATGAAATGTCTGCTCTAATGGAAAGGTTCAACATGAAGTCCCCCATAACAGGAAATGATCTTACTCCACCCATAGAATTTAATTTAATGTTCAACACCCAAATTGGGCCTTCAGGTCTAGTGAAAGGATTCCTGAGGCCAGAGACAGCACAAGGTATCTTTGTAAATTTTAAACGCTTATTGGAATTCAATCAAGGACGTCTGCCATTTGCAGCTGCACAAATTGGTAACTCATTTAGAAATGAAATATCTCCTCGCTCAGGCCTCCTCAGAGTCAGAGAGTTTACTATGTGTGAAATTGAACACTTCTGTGATTCAAAGGACCATCCAAAGTTTGATTCTGTGAAAGATACAAAAATGCTGCTGTATTCTGCAGACAACCAGGAACAAGGCAGGCCAGCAGAAATTATGACAATTGGAGATGCAGTGGCTAAACATATTGTTAATAATGAAACTCTGGGCTACTTCATGGCCAGGATTCATTTGTACATGCTGGCAGTTGGCATTGATTCAAAGAAGCTGAGATTCAGACAGCACATGGGTAATGAGATGGCTCACTATGCATGCGATTGTTGGGATGCAGAATGTCTCACTAGCTATGGATGGGTTGAGTGTGTGGGATGTGCTGACAGATCTGCTTATGATTTAACTCAACACACCAAGGCTACAGGCATAAGACTTGCTGCCGAGAAGAAACTACCAGCTCCAAAACAGGTTAAAGTAGTTGAAGCTGTTTCAAACAAAGCTGCTATTGGCAAGGAATTTAAGAAGGATGCCAAGATTATTAATGATACTTTAGCAACACTAGAACCTGCAGCCTTAGAAGAATTAGAAAATAAGCTTGCAACTCAGGGACATTATGATCTTGTTACTCCAAATGGGTCTTTCAAACTGACCCCAAATCTTGTTTCTGTCAAGAAAAGTGAAAAGACAGTTCATGTAGAAGAAATAATTCCAAGTGTGATTGAACCATCATTTGGTATTGGTAGAATCCTGTACAGTATATTGGAGCATAACTTTAAAATGAGGGATGGTGATGAACAAAGAACTTACTTCTCACTTCCACCAGCAGTGGCACCAATGAAATGTGCTGTGCTACCTTTGAGTGGCAATGCTGAATTTCAACCTTTTGTTAAGGAATTATCGAAAGAGTTACTTTTGGTTGATGTTTCTCACAAAGTAGATGATTCTTCTGGTTCTATTGGGCGCAGGTATGCCAGAACAGATGAATTGGGGGTTCCATATGCTATTACAGTAGATTTTGACACAACAAAACAACCACATTCTGTAACTTTGCGAGAAAGAGATAGCATGGGACAAGTGCGTCTACCACTGGAAGATGTCTCTGCTATTGTAAGGGATTTAGCAAATGCCAGGATCACTTGGAGCGATGTGGAAAACAAATATCCTAAGTTTGAACAACAGGAGAACACTAAAGGCGCAGCAGCTTAGAATATGATGAAAGAATTATTTGCATAGCTGTTTTAGATCTTGAGTAATTTATTTCTGTTAGGTATAAGCTGAAATGCAGATACTAATGTAACAATTTCTTGTGCAATAGCAATTACTTTGATGCTACTATCTCTTTTGTTATACAATACAAAATTACATTCTTGATGTAACATTAATTTACAAATTTTATTATAATAAATGCTGAATTGTAAATTCTTTTGTCTTTTGTGTAAAAACAAACTTTATAGTGTAACTTCTTTCTATTAATAATGCAAATGTTAAAATGGATAGATGGATGTTTGATAGAAGTTATCTCCAGAACCGCTAAAATAATTTCGATGTTATTTGACCTAAATGTACAACATAGTCTGGAAGAACACATAGGCTACCAAGTTCTTTTTTAATTCGGTACCGACTGAGTCACGGTCGATTGCCAATCTTTTATTAACTTCTTCTTAGAGGTACAGCGAAATGATAGAATAAAAAACATTATTACTAGTTTTATTTGTCAATTACACTTTTAGACCAAATTGAAAGATTTTAGCGTGGTACTATCTGTAGCGGCGGTCTCTGGACCGGGAGCGCTGGCGGTGGCGGTCTCGTGACCGGTCGCGGTGCTTGTCACGTCGGTCTCGGTCTCTTTCGCGCTCTCTATCTCTGTCCCTTCTATCTTTGTCTCTCTCGCGCTCTCTATCTCTATCGCGGTCTCTGTCTCTATCATCCCGTTTTGCAGGTCTGTCTTTTGAGTATCTGAAAATACATTTTAGAAATTCTTTATAAATGCTAATTTAACAACTACTATTTTAGTACTCATATGATAACATCAATGCATACAGAATGTTTTACAGGTTAAGGGACATACTATTCAAAGTTTCAACTCATAAATTGCTGAACAAACCTGTCTATATCGCCATAATCTCGTCTATCCCTATCATCGTGCTCGCGGCGATCTGCCTCCATGCGGGAAGAGCCGTAGCCTGCTGCGCCGCCCCCGCCACCGCTGCCACCTCGGTACGTCGCAGTCGGCTTTGATGCAGACATTTGCCTGTTGTGCTCACCCATCCTACATTTTTTTTTTCACAAAATTATAAAAATGAAGCCAAAAAAATTTAATACAAATAAGTAATAAACTCCTTCATAAAAGTTCATAATTTGCCACTGCATAGTAAAGGAAATATGAATTGGTATTGAATCCATTTCTGTTTCATCTGTAATTCAAAACAGCACACAACAGCAAAGGAAAAACAAATCATAGTTCACCATAATATTAGTTGACAAATATATAAATGTAAAATAAATTATAAAGAAGATAAATTCTATACCTACTTCTGTTCAATTTGTTTCTGTATTGGGACGGGTATTCTTGGGAAGAGTGTGCTGAACCAGTCCAGTTTGATCAGCATCTGCCTCACCAGGGCTCCGATGGTGGTGGGGCCGCCTCCGCCGGCGCGCGGGTCGATCTCCTCCTCATCGTCGAGGTAGTCCACATACCAATCAAACAGGTCCGCTGGTGGCTGGGTGTAGCGAATGTACATAAAGCCTGTTTTAAATCATATAATGTCATATATTAATTTGTGTTCAAATTCTTACTCATAGATATTGATTAAATGACGATTACTTGACCAATTACAATATATTCTTAGGTTTTATAAATTAGGAAAATATATATTCTCTTTTGTATATTGCATGCTTTGATACACAACTTACTTGCAATTTATTGAGCATCCCTGTTGTCAGATGTCCAGTAGAAATAAAATTTGATTTGACTACACAATATTAAATTTAAAATGCAAATACATTAAATGCAACACAATTTTTTAAATAAAATTAATTATTTTCATGTTCTCAATTCTGTTAGTAAAGGCTCTATGTTTTGAAAACATGTCAATTTCAGTTTAATCTTATGAAGACATATTATATCTTGTGTTAAACAACTTATTAGTTTGAATTTACAGCAAGTATACTATAAATGAGAGAGTTAGTTTAACTCATGAAATCATAGAATAAAATCATCTTAATAGGAAAAACATGTGAACCAGAAAAGCTAGATAAAACTAGTTTTAAGTGTTTCATCATCCTGTTATATTTGAAGTATAAGCAGAAACATAAAAAATGGGCATGTCAAGAACCATACCTACCGAGGGCTCTGATGTACGGTGAGTCTGTGTGCTGCAGCAAGCCATTGACCTGCTTACGTGTGAGACGCAGAGTGTACAGCTTGTAGAGCAGGCAGAATGCTGTGGACACTATGCCACCAGCACCCACTCCTCTGACCTGCCGTAAATATATACAAAATACAATATTATTATAATAATCTTGCCATTAAAGGATATTTAAGATTTCTATTATATGGTAAAATGAATGTAATACAATTATTCTTTTCATTATTATTCCTCACTTCATTTAATATACATTCTTGCATACTTTATTGCACTTGGCAATGCAGACACAACAAACGGAGGTGAGGAGCAAGGCTTATGACATACTCACGCCGCCACACATGCCCGTCTGGCCGGCGGTCTTGCGGCTGCCACGCTCCCACGGCTCCAGGTGCTTCACCTGATAGTAGATCTCGTCCACCACCTCATGGTATGTCTTCAACTTGAACAGATGCACTGGGAACAACATTTCATATTAATATTCTAATTATAACTGAAAAACATGTTTAACGACTTTTGTAAACAAACTAAACGTAAAACAATAATCTTGACGTGAATCCAACTCCTGTGCGTTAGTATGTTTGCTTACCTACCTTTGAAGTAGCTAGAACCTTGGATGTTTGCTAATATTAAAGGATTCAGATTCATAGTTTGTTCATTACCCCATATTGGTAATACATTATGTTGTTTGCTTGTTTTCGCGGGTTTCTGGAGGTTGCACTCTGGAAAATGGGTAGTTTTAGTACAAACAGTTTACATCGACAAAAACAATTCCTGACCTAAAACATACCTTCGTTTTCCGCCATTACAATATATATGACTAATACTTAACATTTAATTAAGAACCTCGAAGATAAAAGCACCATTAGCATGTTTTACTTCCAAGAAATTCCGTAATTTTACAATGTAAATTGCATGGATTACGGTCACCAATTTGACACGACACGATGTGACAGGCGAAGCTTTTTTCATAGATAAAAATATTATTTGACAAAATGGCGACTTGTGTCTATGGATTTTGCTTTAAATATTTTTATATAATTTCTTAGTAAAAAAAATACCCACTCCTTTTATAATAACTGTCCGATGTATTTTTTTATTACAAGACAAATTTTAAAATAACAGGCAGTAAATGAGTAGTGGTTTACTTTTCGATGTTACTGTCTAAACAATAAAATTGTTTGTGTAGGTTATAGCACCACATCAGGTTAATTCTGCAGATTCCTAATACATCAATAGCCCAGTTAAGGCTATTTATGTGTAGCTTTAAAAGAAAACTTACTACACTGAACACAACCTCTTTGATAATAGAATAGTGATTTTACAAATCCAGTAACTAAAGATAATGTTTGCATAGCTGTAAATAAATTTAATTTCCATTATTGACACAAAAGAGAAACAAAAATTGGTGGGTACTTAATTTAATCAAATAATTACAAAACTTATAATTAGTTAAGTCACTTATTGGTAATATAGCTCCAAGTTCATTCCATCATGGATTTCATCTGAAGTTTTTCTAAGGAAATTAATTTTGAAACCTTAAACAAAAAAAAAACACAAAGGTCATTTTAATTAATGAGAAAAAATGTTTTACATTATCTATTATAGCTGATAAAATTAAGCATTTTAAGAATTTCAGCTACTTCACCTTTTACTTTTATATTTAAATCTTGCTATCTTTCAAGTTGTAAAATTGTATTTGATTAGACTTGAGAAACTGAACAATAATTTATGATCTGCAGATCAGCTCAGGGTTCACATGTGTGAAGCAGGTCAGCAAATTGGCTCACAGATCAGCACAATTTGTACCAGCATAGAGATATGAGATATGACCTGCAGTTTGTGCTACAAGCTGCTAGTCACCATACAGCTTGCAATTCTTTTACACACATAGTTTTGAACTCAACGGTTCACGTTTATGAGAGCCGAGTCTTTGAACCAGTTCAGAACTGCCCATGGATAAAAATGATAAAACATGGAAGGCACAAGCATGTGTGATATGTAAAATAATACAAATTTATGAACTACTTATAAACATAAACCCTTATGAAGTATAAATTGTAAAAGGATACAATCAGATAACTTGATGTGATCTTTAAATACAGTGTACCATTTCTTCAATACAATTTTATCGTGCCTTGTTCCTGTTTGTGCAGCGATTAGTTTCTTCAAGTCTCCCACTGTGTCATCTGGATTACATTTCACTCTTACTTTTTTACCTAAACGATCATTACATGTAACTTCTAGCATTTTCTCTTACTAAATAGGTTATCTTGTTTCTGTAAGATAAGTTCAAATTATGATTATGCCTGAAATACGACAGCATTTTTGTTGGTGTGTAACAATCCACTCTACTTTAATTATACCTACAATTTCTAATATTGAAAAAGTTAACCAGATATTGTTTCGGTTCCTAGAATTCGATGTTGATGTTGATTGACATATGAGAAATTTTACATTTTTGGCAACTTCACAATTGAATTGACATTTGACAACGACAGAGGCCCGCCCCAGAGCCCAAAGAGAAAATATCAATTTTGTATACAATCTATAAGCAACAACTCTTTTTATAACCTGTGGACATTTTGACAATGATTTAATTAACTGAATCAAAACATCCGGTAAGTTTGTTTATTTTTAACAAAGTTTTATATTTTAATTAGATATATTTAACAACAAAATTTATGTCACATAAATATTATTTTTTATTTAATATTTTTAGATGATAACACGACATTTATAAGAAATTTTGTTTCTGTTAGGAGTTTGCTTTACAGGAAGTAAATCCAACTTTCCACACGTCACTCGAGATCCGACCAACAAGTTCAACGATCAACGACAGTGAAATTTCGTTTAGTGATAGTGTTGTGCCTTAATAGTGAAAATGCAAATTCCAAATGAATATGTGTCCACTGCGGAAGATGTGGCAGATCAGGTAAAATTATGTTTAATTACTTGTTAGATCTTATAGCAATTTAAATTTAGAAATGTACTTAACATTTTACATGTCACGTCACCGAACAAGTTGATGGACTGGTGATTTTATTTTTCCTATTAAAATACAATAACTTCGAATTTCGCTATAATTTCTTATGATGAGCCCACGAAGCATATTGTATATGTTAGTTATCAGTTATTTTATAATTTTCGATACGTTTGTATATGTCTTATTTCTCCAAATCTCATTTCAAACTTTTTCAAATACAAATATATTATGATCTGATTTTAATGTTAAATGATAACATAAAAATCAGTTTAAATTATATTTGTTAACTATAATACCTGATTCCTGATTCTAAATACGTCAATGTCCTTTTTAGTAAGGTATCAACATTAAAATTATTTAAATTTCTATTTAAATAAGCAGAAGGAAATGTAATAAGAATCTCATATGACTTTGATTTCTTGTTATCTTTAATATCCTTTCACTTTTCAAATGTTACTATGCTTATGTCCATACAGAAAACTCAAATAATATAATGTATAAGATTAGTCATTAACAGTTGATACAAATCGATATGAATATTATAAAGAGGAAAGATTTGATTAATTGTTTGTTTGTTTGTATGTATTAGGCTCAGAAACTATTTACTGATTTAAAAAATCTCTGTAGTAAAGCAATACAATCCCTGGGTGACATTTATTATACTTTTTTTTTATTCCAAGTAGACAATGTCCAGGGCAAGTGCTAGTAATATATATTTCTTAATACCATTGGCTAATTTTAGAATAACATTATCAGAATATTAAAAAAAATAGATCTAATTGCTAAATATTACAATGATAGTAGGTAGTATGGAAAACCATTTTATTATTTATTTTTTTAAAACATAGGTAGATTTATTACTTATAACTAATACTATATTATGTAATTTATCATTACAATATAATGTTGCTTTTGAAATGTAAGCATGAATGTAATTTTTTTTTCAGATAACAATATTGTTATCAGATGACTACTGTTGTAATTGGTACTCATTTAACTTACATAAATTAATTTAATAAAAGCATTCTATAATGTCATGATATTGTAAGCAGACATGGACTTATGTTATGTATGATTTTGGCATACTTTTTAAGCTCAACATATTTAATTAGTTGAAGGACTTATTTAGTGTGTATTTTCATAATTAATCAACACTTCAAGGCTTCAGTCATGCTGTTTAAGTGTTGACCATACTTTTTAATCAAATGTAAATCAACTTTTGGAGGAGTCTTCAGCTTTGGACAGTTACATTAAGAGTAACTTATATAAGTTACAGATGAGACTGCATATTTTATATTCAAATGACTAAATAATATATTTTTCTTCACAGGTTATACGTAAAGGCAAGAATGTGTTACCAACAGTTGCACGACTGTGTCTCATATCCACATTCTTGGAGGATGGCCTCCGGATGTGGTTCCAGTGGTCAGAGCAGAGAGATTACATGGACATCTCATGGGGGTGCGGCAAGTTCCTTGCAACCATGTTTGTTGTGAGTTGAGAGTACATTTGAAGATATTTGTATATATTTTAGTGAATAATATACTCATTACATACATAGGAATTACAATAGTTATGGGATCCCTTGAGAAATGTTTTCTCTGGTGGATAATTCCTATTCATATAACCATAGTGGCCTTAGGACTGTCATCTATGTTTACATATTGGTAGGTTTTTGTTTTTCTTAATATCATCAACACAAATACAGACAAGCCTAGATAAGGCAGAGTCTAAGGACCGTATCATTTTTCTATCTTATAGGGGTTTCTCGCTTATTCATGTTCGCTGGTACTATTCTAACTGACAATTACGTAACAAACAAAACAGATGAGACGAGAAGTAGTTTTTATGTATAGTAACATGACAAGAATGATTTTGCTATTATCTTATGTTGGAAATCATAATGAATTGACATTTTTATACATTGCAAAGATACTAATATTAATTTATTATAGTCATGAAATTTTCTATATTCTATGAATTTTAGCTACTCTTCAAACAACATTATTCGTAATTCGTATATTCGTAAATTTAAATTATAATATAGCTTTTTAGTAAAAATTGTTCTATTTTTTTTTTGTTGCTTGATACACATTGAACATAGAATAATTATTTTGGATATGTTCAAATTATTTAATAAATAATTTGAACATATCCAAAGCATCAACCTTATGTCTTATCATCTAATTAACATAAATACATATAAACTTTAAACATGCTAATTAGTATGTTCTAATATCAATATAGTCAATCATATGCAGTTATAATTGTACTCTGCATCTACAGAATTTGAATCATATTAGTGTACAATGTATTCTTTTAAAAAATTCAAAACAGTCTTGCATAAAACCTTATTCAATTTTAATCTTATTTAAGTGTGCAAAATATAAATAAGTAAGAGTATGTCTATATCACAATTTTTCCACTTAAATAAATTTAAGTGTATTAAATATTAAACCGCGCTGGGTAAAAAAAAAAATAATTTGTAGCCTATGTGATCTTCCAAACTATGTTCTACATCCATGCCAAATGTAAGCGAGATCCATCTGTTCTGAAGATACCTTCCAACAAACATCCATACATCCAAACATCGCATTTGTAATATTAGTAAGATATAAAAGACTTTACCGAGTATACAAATTAGCATATGTAAAATATATTGGGTCTTAGTTTACCGAATTGGATGGTAGAAAAGTATTACAATCATTATGTAAATGGTTGAGTAATCGCGTTGTGTCGAGATACGTGGTCGTACCGCAGCTCGGCTACAAACTGGTTGTCGCTTGAACGTGTCTGCTCTGCTACACAAGGGCCGCACTCTCACGTAACATCCAATATTACGTTATGCTACTGTAAATTGATAGTCTGTGGGCATTAGAGAAATTTATTTTATCTTACTTATTACTAATATAATGAGAAAGTTTGCGTGGATGTAGCCACGTAACTTCAGATTGGCTGAAAGGATCCGAATGAAGT